GAAGTAATGATTTTGTCTTTATCCTCCAAATATGTGGAAAAACTTGGAAAAATCTTATTATACCTGTTTCAGACATATACCCATATGAACATATCTGACATTCATGTCCGAGTCAGAATAACATAGTGGAGAAATATAATTGATCTCTGCACCTATTGTTAGGCAAGCACCTGTGTATCCCTATCAAATGCGGTTTTTATTTTAGTCTCTTGTCCCCCAATTTTCCTACTTTTTTCAAGTTGATGCTTTTCATTTAGCATTTAGTTCCTTTGACCTCTTTTGCTTTCAAAGAATGCTCCATTCAAATTAAATCAATTAGGGATATATTGAATGTTCAAACAAGTGTCAGTTCCCATAGACTAATCATTTAGTCATTGCATTTTTGTTCATTAGACCCGGTTGGAAAATCTGTCATTTGTATGGCCGATGTTATTTTGACAATTGCAATGCAGTTAAAACAATTAATGTAAAGTATGCATTGACAATAAACTAACTTCAAGATCTTTTCATTTTCTTCTCTGCTTTGATGTATCTGTTTGGTGCTCTTTCATCTGCCTTGAAGTTTATTCACCTTTCCATAATCTAGTGCTTATCCTGCAGTAATTCTAGAAAATTTTATCAATTTCTATCTTTTGCATCAAACAGTGTCACATATCTACGACTGGATGGGTCAGTCGAGGCAGAAAAGCGTTTCGACATTGTGAAAGCTTTCAGTTCTGATCCGACTATAGATGCCCTGCTGCTTACAACACATGGTAAGATTTTCTTTTTGCTGACAATTTCTTTTATGATGTTTTGCTTAATTATCGGCTCTGTTTCACAGTTGGTGGGCTTGGTCTGAACTTGACTTCTGCTGATACCCTCGTTTTTATGTAACACAATTGGAATCCAATGCGTGATCATCAGGTAACTTAAATATTAGTACATATTTTTGTATAGAATCTGTGATGGTCCAATGAAATTAATTCCTCAATTAGTGTTCTTCGGTAACATTTTTACAAATTTATATCAAAAGATGAGATCTGGTTTTGTAATTGTTTTCTTTTGACAATACTTATATCTAATCCCATATTTCCTCGTATAATATGTTTTCAATATAATTATGTCGCAAATAAATATGGATGCATTCTCCCCATATTTACTGTCTTAAAGTGTTTTACCTTTTGCTTAAGCTTTGCTGACCTTCTTTTCATGCTCATTAATGACCTCTGAAGTTCTAATTTGTATCTTATATGCTCTTTCAGGCAATGGACAGAGCCCATAGATTGGGCCAATTTAAAGTTGTGAATGTCCACAGGCTTATCATGCGTGGCACCCTGGAGGTAAAAGTTATGAGCCTTCAGAGGTTCAAACTATCGGTTGCCAACGTTGTTATCAATGCCGAGAATGCCAGTTTGAAAACCATGAACACTGACCAGTTGCTAGATCTATTTGCCTCTGCTGAAACATCTGAAAAGGTATTTTTATTTCGAACTTCGTCATTTTCTAGTAACGGGTCAGGGGTGACAGTTCATATTTAATATTATTTTGCTTCTCATATCGAGCTGCACTATTTTCGACGTTCGGTTAATTTTCTTGTTCATGCTTTTGCTACTCGGATGTCGTCCACATCAACATTTATGTCTTTTATTTATAATGTTTTGAATTCTATTTCTACTTATGTACAATGTGATGTTACTTCTAGTTAACGAATTCACGAATTTTAAAAAAAAAAATTATTTTGCGTAATCTTGTATGAGCATCTCCATGTTTTCTGGAAAGTCCCGAGGGGAAGAAACAAAGGTAAAGGCATGTCACGTTCATTTTTCCAATCTAATTTAATCATAGCCATATACAAATGGTACTTCATTAATCACCTGAGGGAGGATTGTAGAGTAGGGTGGGCAGAACGTGCGTAAGGTACTAAGGTGGTCGTGGTTTATGGATTATGGAAGAATCGCCTATTCATATCTTTTATCTGCTTTAAAAGGTATCATTCTCTACAAAGACTTAATTTTTTTTAAAACATATATTTCAATAAACTTTATTTTTTATAATTCAATAAGGCCTAATCTATTAAATATTAATCATACGGCGCATGTCATAGTTATTCATCTCATCATTTAACAAATAGATCTGTTTAATCTTCATATACAAGAATAAGACACATTTTATAATTAATTAATTATCTTTTAAAAAACGTTTTTAATGAAAGAATAAATATTCAGTCATCACTATTGATCCATGATAAATATCTTATCTTTAAAAAAAATTCCTATATTATTTTATGAATGTAACATTTAAACTTTAAAAAGCACATAGATGTAACATTTGTGATCGTTTTAAAATTAGTCATAAAATTAATTTTTATTATTGATATATATCAAATAATAAAATTTTTAAAATTTATATTAGATGAAATTTAAAAAAATTAAAAAGTAGAATGAATTAATTTATGTTTTTAATCAAATTAGATTAATTAAAAGAACATTTAAACTTATAGCAGTTCAGGTTTAAGAAATTTGTCAAAATATCTAGAGTGGTAAATTAAAAATAGTAATGATTTGAAAAAGAGTAAGTTCGACGTAACTAACCTCGTATGTTATAAAACTTTAATTGGCTGCTAACTACTTGATTTACAATTTCATCTAACATTTTACTAAAACCACCTCATCTTCGTGTTAGGTGGGATTAGATTGAGTAATTTCCAATGTCAATAATATAAAATGTATAATCAATATGAAAACAATGATTCAATATAATTAGATATAATTATTACGTGTACCGTATTCTTGCTTAGATTTTTATTATATATTATAATAATGGTAATTTATATTTTTTGTGTTCATGACTGACACAAAAATTGAAAAAAATATATAGATTAAATAAGAGTAGATTTGCTTAAAAGTAATGCTATTTTGCTGAGAGACTTGCAATATTATATACCATTACCTAAACTGTAAAGGTAATGTTTTTTTATAATGACTATAAAGGTAATGTTATTTTGTAGAGAGTTACACTATTAGTATTATAGGTTAAATGGTGTGTTGTTTATTTAATTGAATTTAATTCGATTGATATCGTTTTTAGCATAACATATAAAAAGTGTGATCAAATATATATCTTTTAATCTAAAGATGTGATATCACATATATTTAAATATTTAATATCCTATTATTTAAGGATGAATCTAATTTTACCCATTCAAAAGACATTAATTAAATAATAACTTTTTTTTATAATACGTGAATAAAAGAGTGGTGAAAAGAAAAGAAAATACAAAAGAATTATCTTTTAATCACTAGAGATCTCGATCGAATCATTAAAAGATCATCGACATAATATTATTTTTAAATAATTTAATTGAATTAAAATAAAAAATAAATAGAAAATTAAACAACTATTTGTATATGAATAAAAAAAATTATCTTTTATTTTATACAGTATATCAACTATAAACGAATGCATAAATATAGTATTGGTAAGCAAAAGGGAAGATCGTATATGAAAATAAAGAAATAAATCTATGTGCAAAGTGATTAATTGTATTCCAATGAATTGCCGTGTGTGAGATAAAGTAGCAATTAAGTAATTAGTTAGTCAAATTTGGCAACATTATGTATGGCTTTGGCATCTGGGCTCTACAACTGGCATGCATCATGCACATCTTCATCAACTCAATATCATTTTTTTAACTTAACAATTTCTTTAACGTGTCATCAGTTAACAAATCTAATTTATTAATTAAAAAAATCTAATTTAAAATCTAATTATTTATATTTTAAGATTTTAATAAAGGGAAAATACAAAGTAAAATAATATAAACATAAAATTTGTTAGTTAATAATATAAACATATTAATATATTCGTGTATTAAAATAATGTTCGTTTACCAACAAAAATTAATTCAAGTGATAAGTAGTTTAATATTATTTAAATAAGATCTAAAGTTTAAATTTTTGTATGTTTACAAAATTCATGTCAAAAGACTCACGATATAAATAGATTCGAATTAGTTAGTACGAGAACCAAGAGGGAAAAAAATGTTCGTTTGAACTATGTTCTGTACGAAAATAACAAAGTAAAATTACAAAACGGATTAAGAAAATAATAAAAGAAAGAAAAGATAAGGCAGCTGATCAGAGGTGTCGGCCGTACATTAACCATCGATCTGTCTGCCACTAATTGAGCTTTGACTTCGATCCAGATTTATTATGGCCGTAAATTATGGTTAACTTTATTCTTAAGTTTCGTTTGATTTTAATTATTATTAGTAAAATTAAAATAAAACTTTAACAGGAATTATTAAAATTTAAAATCAAGTGTTTTAAAAAATAAAATCATAAAACTTATATATATAAATTCAAATTGCGACAGGCGACCTGTTCTCAAGGGTTAACCTCTGATCCAATCAAGTAATCCCACAGCAAAAAAAATCGGACGGTATATTACATAATTTATAAATTATATATATATTCATGTTAATCACAACATCTTAGATTTTATCTTTACAAGAGAATTAAAATAAAATACTTAAAAACCATTATCATTATTAAATTAATTTTTTAAAAAAAGACAGATATCCCAGTTTTATAAATAAAATACTCTACCCCACCATTTTTGTACTTTGTATGAATAAAAGTTGACGATAAATGGCTGTCCCTTTTTTCCCATATGTATGGGGTAAGGGGGAGGTAAGATAGTAGGCTGCCTCCAACACCAGATTGAAAGCAGCTTCCGTAGGAGACCTCCAAATTATGAAATGCCCTCCGTGGGACTTGATCCCACGACCTCAAGGTTGACGATACTTATAACGAATTAAACGCACATGCGTAGCATCTGAAAACATGGCTTTATTTTGGGCGAAATGAGCATTTATCAGTCGTTATTTTGATTTTTGTTTTGTCAAATTAGTTCGAATGTAATATTAGCATTTAATAAACTTTTAAGCACAATAAATGAAAACCGACTAATATATATATATTTTAAAAAGAACTGATATATAACTTAAGTTTAGGAGATACAACTGACCTTTGGGAATCTTTTATGAGAGAAACTGAGAACCATATCTCTGTTTGAGCTATACTGTGTGCCATCCGCAGAAAAATCGCTTCTCTTTAATCGTGACTTTTGTGGACTGAGGATCTTTCTCTTCAGATATCATCCTCTCCTTTGATTGTATGTCGGTGAAGAACCCTACATGTTCAATCTTTGTAATTTCCAGCTCTTTTTAGATGCAACTTCTCTATGATCCATTAACTTCTGTCCCAATCTTGTTTGCTTTCTCTGGACTATCATACAGTTTTACTTCAGTATCTGTTTGATGTTCCCCTTCAACATGATGCTTTATATGCAACTGTAGTTTCACTTTGTTTGAATCTAACTTTTTGAGAAGCATGCAGATGATAGATGGTTTCGGGGGCTGAGTGAGACATTCGTCGAACACTTTGCAGAAGACCAAATATTTTGCAGGTAATTTGGCCTTTCGGGAGAACCGAAAGCCAAAAACAGTGACAGTTTGAGAAGAAGAGAGAAACTAAACTTTGGAGAGAAAATGAGTGGAGGGGAAGAAGGGGAAACGTTGGAGTTTACGCCAACATGGATTGTTGCAGCAGTTTGTACTGTGATTGTTGCTATTTCTCTGGCTATGGAACGTTTGCTTCATGTTCTTGGGAATCTTTTGAAGAAGAAACACCAGAAACCACTCTTTGAGGCTCTTTTGAAAGTTAAAGAAGGTAACCCGTTTCTTTTTTTCCTCTCTAATTTTTCATTTTTGATGTTAAATTTGATTTGAAGTGTTAGGGAAGTATTTTTTCTCTTCTTTTTTAAATTATACCTTTTCAAAAAGCCAGTCTTTATCTTTGTCTATCTATCTTCTGTTTCCTAAAGGGGGAAAAGCTAAAAGTGATAAGTTGCATTTATTTTTCTGATTTACAGAAGGAATTAGAAACTTAGCAAAGATGATCCTTTGAGCATTTTGGAGGGGGGAAATAGTTAAATATTGTTTTTTATGATTATATGTTCAATGATGCGAAATTTGCATACTTTTCTTTGAAGTTTATGTGGAATAAGGAGTTTTTATGCGTTTTTGTTGGGAGATTTTCTTCTATTTAACAAATTTTAGCATTGAAATGTCCTTTTTTTCTTTTTGGCAGAGTTGATGATCTTGGGCTTTATATCACTGTTGCTGACAGTATTTCAAAGTGCAATTTCTAAAATCTGCGTCTCAAAGGAAATATTAACTAGCATGCTTCCTTGTAAAATTGAACACAATAAAGCAACAGGGGAGGGCTCCAATCACACTGAAACAACATCACATTTTCAAAAGTATTTTGCTTCAACCATGGCTGGTAGCATCAGGCACCTACTGGCAGAAGAATCTACATCCCATCTGGAATATTGTGTTAAGAAGGTAGCATATGCATCCATCACCAAATCTACGGTTATTACTTTTATTTATGCTATAAGGAAAAACAAAGAATAGGGTAGGAAATGCATCTAGGATTGGAATAGGATCCTATGCATCTTATTTAATGATAGTTATTGCAGGTTTTGGCTGTGTTCTTTTGATTTAAAATGATAAACGCTTTGATTAATATATTTATTGTTTCTTTATTTCTGTGCTTCAGGGTAAGGTACCTTTGTTGTCAGTTGAAGCACTCCATCATCTGCATATTTTTATCTTTGTCCTGGCCATTGTTCATGTGGTATTCTGTGTTCTCACTGTTTCCATTGGAGGGCTAAATGTAAGCAGTCGGCTATGGACTTATGGTTCATTTGCTTATTCTTCAACTTTTTTCTGGTTGCAGTACAGTTCTTTGTTTGTTCTGAACTTCTCATAAAAAGATTGGTTTATTTTATTTAGATACGCCTGTGGAAACATTGGGAAGATTCAATTGCTAAAGAGAATTATGATTTAGAGCAAGGTAAGGACTAAGGGATATGCAGTATACGCTTCTGCTGCAATTGGATCAAAGAAGAGTGTGCTAGTTCTTTTTCATTTTTTTCTTGGTTCTTCTAACTTATTTACTGTGTTAGTGCAGTGTTGAAGAACAAAATCACTAATGTCCATCAGCATACTTTTATCAAAGCACACTTTCTGGGTTTCGGTAAAGATTCAATTGTGCTAGTGTGGTTGGTAAGCTTCTATTTCATTTATGATGCTATACCTTTGCCATTCACATCTACAACAATTGAACTTAATGAAAAGGGTTTGGTTCCAAAATTTCCTTCTCTTTATTAATTATATCTTATGTGTCTGCGTATTTCCTTGCTCTCATTTCTGCCTCTTGTGGTTGATAAAATTACGTTTGATCTTCCTATCATCTGGTTTTAATTGTGAATGGAAGGATTAATTTTTTCCACAAGAGTTTTTACTTGGAATCGGTCGAAATGAAAGAAATTACCGTAGTATGATAAAAAGTGATGGTGTGCCTCATAAGATGGGGAATAAGAGCAAAAGTCATAGCTAAACTAGGTTTGTTTATGCTGAAAATAAATAACCTTCCCCATGCTCTGTTTACTTACCTTCATAGAATAAAAGGTTTTGATTCTTACAGGTATCTTGATTCCCTTGTCTCCCTTTTTGTTCATAATTTTGAACATTAAAAGACATCCAATAAGAAGCAATCTTAATTGAGCCTCAAAACATTTCTTTTGAAGGAGAAGTTTGTATGCTTGTGCTAACCATGGCTTCAATCTTCTTTGTTTTCTTACAGCATTCATTTTTTAAGCAATTCTATGTATCTGTGACCAAATCAGACTATGTGACACTAAGGATAGGTTTTATAATGGTAAGTTTTCTGTGGAAGGTTCGAAGAACGTTTCTATTGTTGTAATATCATTCTCATATCCAATTACCAAATACTTATTATTTGTGTTGCAGACGCATTGCAGGGGAAATCCCAAGTTTAATTTTCACAAATACATGATACGAGCCTTAGAAGATGATTTTAAGCAAGTTGTTGGTATTAGGCAAGTGAATATGAGATTGTTTGTAAATATTTATGTCTAGTGTTTCCACTTCGATTCATGCTTACTTTGCTGCGTCATCTTGATTTATTGTTTTTGTTTGCTTTTTTGCAGTTGGTATCTCTGGGTTTTTGTGGTCATCTTCTTATTGCTGAATGTTAATGGTACGTAAGAGCATTGACCGTTGTTAGCATTATTGTGTTTTGATGTTTAATTGCTTTTACAATTTTTTCGAAAGAGTATTTTCATATAATATGAACCTTTTCCTTTTCTTCTTTATGCTTCTGTGGCATGTGGTAGGTGTTCTTGTCGAGATTACTTCCTAGCATTAATGCACTGTGTAAATGATGACATTTTCTCAATTTTCTTCTGCAGGCTGGCATACATATTTCTGGATTGCTTTCCTTCCTTTCATCGTGAGTAGTTTTTATATGGTTCCTTACACATGCAAATGCATATGCACAACTCTAAACATGCATCTATGTACTCAAAATAAAATTAACCAATTCCATATTGAAGAGATCATTGCATGGACTAATCCATTTTATCCGAATTCGGGGGTAACGGATACTTGCATACATGCATCAAGGTTATGCTTAATTTTTCTAAATTTATTCCGTATACATAGAGGATCATATCCCTATACCATGTTCGACTGTCTCAGAAACCGGTGTCAGAATTGGTACTTCAGGGAAAACTAAGAGTCCATGTAACATGCCTGATCGATGGAATGATAGAATCTCAACAATGTCACTAATTGATCTATCAGAAAGAAATAAACAAGGGAAGAAAACCATTGAAAGTCGGGATAAATTCATTGACACTAAAAAGTTACTTGTTTGCATTCTGTTTTTTTCTTTTACTTGATTCATTTGTTTCCAGCTTTTGCTTGCTGTGGGTACCAAGCTTGAGCATGTGATTGCCCAGTTGGCTCATGAGGTTGCTGAGAGACATGTAGCCATTGAAGGGGACTTAGTGGTCAAGCCATCAGATGAACACTTTTGGTTCAACAGGCCTATCATTGTTCTCTACTTGATCCATTTTATCCTCTTTCAAAATGCTTTCGAGATTGCATTTTTATTTTGGATTTGGGTAAGCCTATATTTTAGTTCTCTTTTTTTTCATATGAACAACATAGCAAACTGGATAACATAATAACACTTTCTTCATCATCTGTAGGTTCAATATGGCTTTGATTCCTGCATTATGGGTCAAGTTCGTTATATCATTCCTAGGCTCATTATAGGGTAAATAATCAAATGACCATTTGGTTTACGTTGCTGTGTGATGTTGGTTCGTTTTAAAATTTTCGTCTTCCTGTGAGTTGCCAGCATTTATTCTTCTGTTGGTTTCTTCAGGGTTTTCATTCAGGTACTCTGCAGTTATAGCACCTTGCCACTGTATGCTATTGTCACACAGGTTAGTTGAGTTTCTTATAACTATAAGATTCAATTCCGTATCCGGAACTCCTATTTACATGTCCTTTTTCTACCGAATTGAAGATGGGAAGCTCGTTCAAGAAGGCTATATTTGAGGAGCATGTGCAAGTAGGTCTCATTGGTTGGGCACAGAAGGCGAAAAAGAAAGGCTTAAAAGCCGCTACTCAGACTGAAGCTGAAACAAACCCGGAGCAAAGTCCTTCGGTTTCGATTCAGATGGGGAGAGTGCTGCGAAATGCATGTGCTTCAGAGGAGATTCATCCTTCACAGGGCTCGAAATGAGCGACACTGAGAAGAAAAGGAACCATGCTTCTTGTAGAAATATTTATCAGGTAACAGCATTTATGATGTATTTATCGGTCCGGTGGTTTGTTTTGCTTGGTTACTAGTATGTCGTAGGCATCGGATTCAGATTTGAAAAAGCTGCTGTAATGCTTACTGACATGTTTATCTAAATACCCGTGATTTTGCAACCTTAACCCACAGCTTCGGCTTTGTCTCAAAATTTGCAATATTATCATATGTTAATGTTTACTACGAACACAGATTATCATTGCCAATAGAAACCACCTTAGAAATGTCAGCAATTCAATTGTTGTTCTTATTCCGTGGTATATTAGTTGATCCCCATTTCCCACCTGCATGAACTGCTTGCAAAGCTATGTTTCATGTATAATTATACGTGTTCCACATTTTTGTTTGATCTACATTCAAATATGAAAATGAAATACGAGTACTCAAAGCACTCCAGAACTGCATAAAAAAAGAGTAAACTACTAATAAGAGAATACCAGGAGTCATTTATGTTCATACACATACATATTTGGTGAATACCATACGCATCTGTGGCCTGGAACTATGACAGCCTCGGATCATGAGTAGTACTGTCACCGGGACGTCGCGACACGCACATTCATATATCTGCCATGGTGAATGTATTTGATCTAACGCCACATATGTGTTCGTACACATAAATGCAACATAGTCAGCCAAGAATGCTCGTATCTGCAAAAATACTTAAGCCCGAATTAGACTGATGCTACCGATCGGAAATCTATTTTATTATTAAAATAATAAAAAATCTATAATTAAATTGAAATAACATATATATCATTACCAATAATAATGGCAAAATAAGGGCAAAAACTCTGTAAGGGTAAAATATTCCAAAAAAAAGAGAGTAAAATAACCATTTTAATAAATATTGGGAATTAATTTTGATATTGAGCCTAAAAGAACACTTTCCCACCTTCGGACGAAAACCCATTACCAGGAACAACTTGATGACTTAAGATTCCATGGCAAAAACTCTGGTGAAAACCTTCCTGAAAGCCCCCCATTCTCTGAAAACCAAAATCCAAGCCAAACAACTCCATGCCCAATTCCTCAAAACCCAACCCTACTCTCCTTCTTCAACTTCAATCCTCATTTCCATCTACACCAACTTCAATCTCCTACAGCACTCCCTCTTTCTCTTCAACTCTCTCAACTCCCCTCCACTCCTCGCTTGGAAATCCATAGTCAAATGCTAAGCGAGTTCCGGCCTTTTTGTCAACTCCTTGACTTGTTTTGTCAAAATGCGTAGTTTTGGCATGTACCCAGATCATACAATGTTTCCTTTTGTGCTTAAAGCTTGTGTCTTTTTGAAAAACTTGAGGTTGGGTGAGTCTATTCATGGTTGTATTATTAGGTTTGGTTTGGACTTTGATTTGTTTACTGGAAATGCCCTTTTGAATATGTACGCGAAATTTCAGAGCTTACAACTGAATGGAGGATGTAAAGCTATCGCCTTTAATGTGTTTGATGGAATGCCAAAGAGTGTTATTCGATTAGATTGTGTGACAAAGGTTCTAGAAATGATGCCAGAAAGGGATGTAGTCTCATATAATACTGTAATAGCAGGGAATGCACAAAATGGGATGTATGAAGAAGCTTTGAGGATGGTTAGGGAAATGGGGAATGCTAACATGAAACCCGATTCGTTTACTTTGTCCAGCGTACTTCCTATATTTGCAGAGTATGTCGATGTCATGAAAGGAAAAGAGATTCATGGGTATGCTATTAGACATTTGTTTGATTCTGATTGTTACATAGGTAGTAGTCTTATTGATATGTATGCGAATTGTGCTCGCATCAAAGATTCATGTCATGTATTTAATCTGTTACCTAAAAGAGATGACATCTCTTGGAATTCGATTATTGCAGCTTGTGTGCAGAATGGTGTGTTCGATGAAGGTCTGAAGTTATTTCGTCGAATGTTAACAGCTAGAGTAAAGCCAAGGGATGTTACATTTTCTAGTATCATGCCGGCTTGTGCATATTTAACGACATTGCATTTAGGGAAGCAACTTCATGGATATATAATTCGAGGTGGATTTGATGATAATATGTTCATAGCGAGCTCACTCATTGACATGTATGCCATATGTGGAAACATTAAGGCAGCAAGGTGGATTTTTGATCAAATGGAACACCATGACATGGTTTCATGGACAGCAATTATAATGGGACATGCTTTGCATGGGCATGCTCATGATGCCCTTTCATTATTCAAGCAGATGGAAAAGGATGGGGTGAAACCCAACTCTGTATCATATGTAGCTGTTTTTACTGCTTGTAGTCATGCTGGATTGACAGACGAAGCTTGAAGATTTTTCAATAGTATGAGCCAGAATCATGGTATTAAACCGGGTTTGGAACACTACGCAGCTATGGCTGACCTTCTTGGTCATGCAGGAAAGTTGAATGAAGCGTATGAATTCAATAGTAGCATGCATATTGCACCTACAGGTAGTATCTGGTCAACACTGTTATCGGCTTGTAGAGTCCACAAAAACCTTGAGTTGGCCGAAAAGGTTGCTAAAGAGATATTTAGAGTTGATCCTGAGAATGTGGGAGCTTATGTTCTGATGTCAATTATGTATGCAGCTTCTCGGAGATGGAAAGAGGCAGCAAAGATGAGAACCTTTATGAAGAAAAAAGGCATAAGAAAGGAACCAGCTTGCAGCTGGATTGAAGTTAAAAACAGGGTTCATACTTTCATATCGGGCGATAAATCACATCCTTTATATGATAGAATATTTCAGGCGTTGATCTTCTTGAACAGATCGAACGTGAAGGCTATATCCCAGACACAAACGACGATTTCCATGATGTTGGTGAGGAGCAGAAGAAATACTTGCTATTTAGCCATAGTGAGAGGTTGGCTTTAGCTTTTGGCATCATTAGCACGCCAGCTGGGACAACAATTCGAATAACCAAAAACATTAGGGTCTGTGTTGACTGTCACACTGCTATGAAGTTAATATCAAAGGTTGTTCAAAGAGAGATAATTGTGAGGGATAATAGCAGATTTCATCATTTCAAAGATGGAGAGTGTTCATGCAGAGATTATTGGTAAGATTACAGGTTGAGAGATCAATATTTACGTGCAGTTTTGGCATTTGAGAGTAGGGTGGAAGATTGCAATAAAAATCTATAGAGTACGAATCAATGAGAACTTGTACGCAGAGTTAAAATTCTTGGGCAATTTAAGAGACCAAAGGCAACCTTAGAAGCTTAAGTTTCTGCATATTTCTGCAACTTCTGCCTAAGCCCCTGTTTGAAGGTAGCACCGTGCATATTTGAAGTTCAAATCTCAACATCTGCAGCCCTTTCCCTTTTCCTAAACTTGGCTCCAAATCATGAAGATGGTAGGGCATTTTATATCAAACCTTGTTGGTTGATGATTAAAATTGTAAAGAAAGATGAGAATTCATCCAAATATTAAATTCCAGTCTCTTCTATGTTAATTGATTCATCAAAATAATTTGCTTCAGCCATCCTGAGCATCACCATCTCCTTCATAATATAGGCCTTCATAAACATAGCAAGACAATTATGTTAGACCTTGGAGGTTGAATACCAATAATCGCTATCTGATTTTTCTTCTCCACCTAATGTTTTATTGCTTATTGTTTAGTCTTTCTTGTCCGCATGCACCTATTATCGGTTATTTCCTATTGGTTTAAAGCTTTTCCCAATAGGAGTCCACGTGACTTCGCCTCGAGATGAATGTTGGGTTGTATATGTGTCCGACATGGATATTTGAAATTTGTTTTGGAGTTTTTCCATATATTTGGAGAATCATACTCCTTACCATATCTAAATATGTATGGAAAAAAGTATCAACCATTAATACATTACAGAAAATGAATAAGTACAATAACATTGGAGTTAAGGTAATTCAGATGGTGCAAAGGATATGTATTCTGCAGTCCAGCGGAGGGAACAGATACTGTGCATACTGACAAGTTAAATTGAATGATCAATTCAAATAAAAGAAGGTAAATTTCTACACAAACTCATACACCAAATAATGCATCAAAAGTCTCCACAACTGAATTACTAAATTTCGAGTACAGGAAGTTAAAACGAAAAGAGTTATGTAGCAAGACTAACCAAATTGAAATGAAGTACAACATCTGAAACTAGTTCTTTTTTTTTTTTTGGATAATTTGAAACTAGTTCTTTGGTATGTTCTTCCCAACAATCTTAGCCGGGGTTATACGTAGCAGATTTCCAGGCTTATCAGGGACAGCACCTTTGATCATCACGACTCGAAGCTCATTGTCGATTTTCACAATCTTAAGCTTTCTGATCTTTCTTTTGCTTCCTCCCATTCTGCCAGGCATTTTCTTCCCCTTGTACACACGACCAGGTGTTGTTCCAGCACCAATAGACCCCAATGCTCTGTGACTCTTAGAACCATGAGACATTTGACCTCTTTTAAAATTATGGCGCTTTATTCCACCTGTGTAAAAATTGGGGCAAAAATCATGTCTGTTATTACATTCCACCGATGGGGAATTTGAATTGCCAAACCATTAAGACCCACATTATGGCAAAGGAAGCTAAAGTTTTCAAAGAAAAACCCTAGAATTCCATATCAAGATGATAAAAACAATGTGAAATGAGCAAAGAACATACTTAGAAGAGAAGATACCAACCAAAAACGCAGAGTTCGAATAATATGTGTGTGTATGCATGTAACATCAATAAAAAAGAAAAATAATACACCCATTTTTGAACCCTGCAATTTGACCAACATGATATTGAAGTCTGTGACACCAGCATATATTCATGATGAAGCAGTGAACCACACAATTAATTCACTTCAACTTACATATAAGCATTATATGTTCATTCATCAACATCTTCAATAATGCTAAAATCAAGCAATCTACCATCAATTGATCACCTTCAAAATGCAATACATAAATAAAATCTAACCTTGAAATCCTTTCCCAATAGTGGTCCCAGAGACATCAACAAGATCACCTTCCTTGAAAATCTCTTCAACAGCTAACTTCTGACCAGTCTCAAACTCCACACTTTGCAACCTAAATTCCTGCAAATGCCTCATGGGAATAACACCAGCTTTCCCCAAATGGCCCAACTCAGGCTTCGTCAGCTTCTTGTCTCTAACTCTCCTGTACCCAACTTGAACAGCATCATAGCCATCGGTAGCCGATGTCTTAACTTGGGTCACTATATTTCCTTCTCTGAAACCTACGACAGTCACCGGAACAACTGTTCCATCGGTTTCAAAGTAACTCATCATTCCAAGCTTTGTGCCCATCACTCCAATGCCTGCTTCCGTACTCATCGAGACTATATGCGAAGAAGACCTCTTCTGGGTAGTTTTGAAGGCAACCGAAAACTGGGTTTTTGTGGGTTTTGAGAGAAAAGAAGATTTGAGGGATAAAGGAGGAGACTTTTGGCAGCAATAGCCTAAAGAAGGGAGAGATAAGGAAGCAAGTGGCATTGTTCTTTTGGGGTTTGATTCAGAATGAAGATTTGAGCCGAAATAACTCGGAAAATGGGAGCTTTTATCCTCGTCGGACTCGCTCTTATCCTTGGTGACAAAAATGAGACATGGGAAGCAATCTACTGCTGTTGGATGCATAGGATGGTTTATGCGACCATTGGTTTGACTTGAAAATATTCAATTTGTGCATTTTCTTAAGCTCAATTAGGAGCTTACCTGGATTGAATTTGAATATACAGTAAATAATTAAAGTATATTATAAGCGGTTTAATTTGATCAATTTTGATGTGATTATGTCCTTCAAACCTAAAATTTATTTTTGAACGAGTCTTCAAACCAGATTGTACTTATTTTAAATTAAATTATGTTTTTTATTTTATTTTATCGAATAAGAAATGAGATTTTTCTGGATCTATCATCTAAGATAATCTTAGACATTTTTGGTTCACATGCAATGTTATTAAGATCAAATCAAATTAATTATTGAATAAGTTGAATTAAGAATTGATATGTTAATCAGTTTGAAAACCCTAATTAACTCATATATGAATATGGATCCAAAATAATCTAGCTAAACATAAAAATTTAATTTGTTAAGGGATTTTTCGATTGCACGGTTAGTTGAATCTTTCAACACTCGACAATAATTATTCTTTTGAGAGTGTTTGTTATCATTTTAGTCCCGGATTTTATTTCCCGACTCTGGAGATAGTTTAGGAGCACTATGGTCAAGGAGGACATGATTCGTAGATCATGTAACATATATATCCTATATATCGAGTCACTGTAGTTAGGATCCAATCAAAGGATTAGTGAAGTCAAAGGAAAAAATTGCAAAACAAAAATAATTAAAGGACCAATTGACGAATAATGCACAATCGTTGGCAGAATGCTTCGGGAGATTTCTGACACCAATTGCTTAAATAGACTTATCGTGCGCAATAATAACTTTATAAAAGTATAAATAAACTTTTAACCTTTTATTTTTACTTGAGAAAAAATGCACTTTAAAACCTTAAGCTAAATGCCTAAATCTTAAATCTTACTTTATCGTTTTGGTTAGTTAATTTTAATTAACATAAAATTGGAATAATTTTAAATGCAGGTAATTATACCACACATCCCTAAATATGACTTTCATTTTAAATTGATCATCAAACTTTTAAATATTTCAATTCATCACTGAACTATGACTCATTTTTAATTAGTCTTCAAACTTTTGAATATTTCAATTTCATCCTCAAATTATGATCCTCATTCAAAATGGGTCTCCAAACTTTTGAATCTTCCAATTTTGTCCACAATGTCATCCAAACATGTAATTAGTTTCAACCGGAGTTTAATCAAAATTTTATTTTTTAGAACATATAATAATATAGTTTGGTTGAACGGTTATATTAATAGGGGATGTGATTAACATATACCGATAGTTTGGGATGAAATCAAAATGTTCAAAAGTTTGAGGACCAACAAGGGACTAATTTAGAATGAGGCTCATAGTTTGGGGATGAAATCAAAACGTTCAAAAGTTTGAGGATTAATTTAGAATGAGAGATATAATTGGGGATAAAATTTGAATGTTTAGAAATTTAAAGACTAATTTAGAATAAAAATCATATTTTGAGGATGTATGATACTATTAACTCTTTTAAATGCTAACAGTGAGTGTTTTATGCATTAGCAATTAATAATATGTGCTCATGTGTGCCTCGTGCAAAAAATAGGTATAATATATATGTATTAATTTCTCATACCCTCATTAAACAAGACTTTCCTTTTCGTTAGTTTTTCTCTTTTCTTTAAAAAAAAAATTAACCCTAATTAGGTTTCATAAAAGTCTTAAACTAGTATAAATAGTGAGTTGATATAAATTGTATAATCTCCATCAATGAAGTTTTAAATTTGATCACCAACCAAAAATCATCTTTCCTCTTTAATTTATGCTCATCAGCAATACATATAATTATGATTTTATAGGTAGTCTTTTTTGTGCTAGTTTATGTATAATTTTACGTTTGAAAACAAATTATTAGATTTTTTTATTTCAAACATATTAATATTTATTTTTGCTTACACTTTTCATGTTTTTTTTTTTTTAATTTTACACTTTTCATGTTGGGACAGTGAATATGGAGATCATTGGCCGTTCGTGTTAATTATTTTGTTACTTATTGGCGCCGTGCTAATTGGAGTTCTCGTATTCATTATCATCAAATGTAAGAAGAAACGAGATGCTGCTTAGTAGAATTGTAAATGAGACGAGTTAGATCATGAATTATTCGAGATCGACTTGATTAAAGATTGATAAATATTCGACTCTAATGAACTCGATTCGAGCTCGAGCTCGACTCAAATTCTTAACGAGCCTAAACAAGATACTTCATATTCGACTTGAAAAGCTCACGAGCTACTCGAAAAATAATATATTAAAATTTATTTTTAACAAAAAATAAATTATTAATAATATTAACATTTATGTTTTGATTTTCTTTTTAAAAATACAATATAAATGTATTTAAGATTCATGTTTGAGTTTGAGTTTTAATCAGGTTAAATTTAAGATTTTTTATTTCGAGTTTTTTTTAGCTTTTTCGAGCTTTAATTCATGGTTTTAAGTTCGAACCTAGGGATGGCAAAAAAATCCGAACCCGACGGGAAAAACTGAAAACCGAATTAAACAGAGACGGGGAAAAACCGTTTATGCTAAACGGGGACGGGGATGGGGAAAATCGTTTATGTTAAACAGGGACGGGTTTAGTAATCCCTGCCCCGATTACCCGATTATCCGGCCCGATAAATATTAAAAAATAATTATTATATATATATATATATATATATATAATATTAATAAATTTAAATTAAATTAAAAATATATATAATATTTATATATTTAATTTAAATATATATATATACGGCCCGATACTCGTTTAAATAATCGTTTATGCTAAACGGGAATACTCGTTTCCCCGCGGTTTTCCTCAATTACCCGATGGGGATCCCCGTTTAAATCCCCACGATTTTTTAAGCGGGGACGGATACATGTTTTTAAAACGGAGACGGGGACGAGGGACCAATACCTGCCCGAACTAGGCTCGTTGCTATCCCTATTCGAACCGAGCTTAAAAATTAAAACTCGCGTGTTTTTGAGCCGAAACAAACTCTATTTCAGAGTTTTCGAGTCGAGACGAACTCAGTAATACTCAAATTCGACTCGACTCGTTTACATCCGTACTGCTTAGCTTAAACCCAACGGCCTCCCTAGGGTTTTTTTTTGGATGACGGCGCTATTATTATTGTTATAGATATACCTTCAATAAGTTTAGATGTTGTTGGCTTTACTTTCTTTCTCATCGATGAGTGGTTCATATTTATAATCCAAGTATAGTTTATTTATATTATTTTTTATATAAAGCTGTTTTCTTTTTCTTCTTAGTCTATTATTAAATATTTTTTTATCTTGGTATAATAAAAATATTCAAGATCATGTTAATCTATATTCTTATAAAAATAAATAATTTATTGAAGGTATCAAAAATTCAGTGGTAAAGAATAATGTTGTTATTCCTAGTATTTTTAAATTATATATATAGGATATGTGTATTTTATCAATATATTAAGAAAATTTTAAATAAATATTATTTTGTAATTAATCGAACTAGTAAAAAATATAACCAATTTATTCCGTTAATGTATATACAAACTTTATTTTATTGACAACAACAATTAAATATGAATGCATATACAAGTTACACAATTTCAATCATCTCAAATCACAAATGTTATAAACATATTTAACTTGAAATACTTTTGGATGTAAAATAAGGAAATTTTAATTTGATGCAAATGAAAGTTGATTTATGATTAAAAAATTGAAAGTCAATTAAATAAAAAGTTAACCTTTTGACTTTGGCTTCGTTTGGTAATTCTATCTAAACGCACTTTTGATCTAAAAATCAGGTTTGAAATCAAAATCATTACCAAATGGGAAAAATTTAAAGGTGAAAGTGCGTTTAGAAGAGTGGTTTTAAACCACCACAAAAAGTTGAATTTTCTAACTTTTTTAGTTCAAATTTCCGTTTAGAAGCAAAGTTATGTTTTTACCCTTAAGTTGCATTTGGTAATGTTGTCTAAAAACACTTTTAACTAAAAAATTCGTTTTGACCGCAAAATTAATGTCAAACGGGTAAAAATTGAAAAGAAAAATGTTGTGAAAATGATGGTTTAAAATCAACCCCTCACATATCTAGCACTTTCATTTCCAACTTTGCGTTTAGAAACAAATTTATATTTTTAACCTTGCTAATGTATGTGCTCTACTCATTTGCCCGAACTTTGAAATCCAGTTTCATTTATTAATTATGTGTTTACATTTTATTTCAATAATTTATTACTAACTTCATTAAAAAATAATTTATTTCTTAAAAATTTATTTTAATTACTTATAAGTAAATAAAATTTATGATTTATATATTAAAATATTAATAATGAGCTATTATAAATTATATTTTTATTATAATAATATATTTTTATATTTTTATCATAGTTTAAATTGATATAATAATAATTTCTTTTAAATTTGTTTATAATATATATCTTTTTTTTGAATCATTAAAAGATAAATATATCGTTTAAATTATTTTATTTTATATTTTAAATAAGTTAATGTGGTTAAATTAGAATAATTAAAATATTATTTTAAAATACAAATATTAACAGTTTCTAATCGACAATGAATATCGGTGACCTATTTCCATTAATTTCCCTTTTTATTTTCACCTTTCCTTTTTTAGCTCATTCCCTTCTTTCTTTTCTTGTTGCTCACGCATTCTCCATGTCGATTTGATTTGACACTAGAAGGTGATTCAATCACTAACAACCTCTATTTTACATATCTATTTCATAAACCTATAATTTATTTTATTAATTTAAATTTTTATTTATTTTTTAATAACTATTCTCATTTTCTTATGAAAATAGAGAAAATTTGTACTTTATCTCAAATAAAATTCTTATATTGTCTCGTATAAATTTTAATCTCATGTCCCCCCCCCCACAAATAATGATCCTA